CTGTATGTGGATTTAAACCCCAATTAAATTATCATTTTCACTGGTTTCATTACCGGAACAATTCCATTGTTTTTAATATTGACTCTTGATTTACTAGAGTGAAAGCAAAAGAAAATCCAGTCTCAGTTCATATTAAGAATGGATTGCAACTTTGGGTTATTCACATTATTAAAACAGTATTTTCATATTACTGTTTAAAGAAAAACAGTTGGAATACTGCATCCAGTTCTGGGCACCGCACTTCAAAAGGGATGTGGCTAGCTTTGAGAGGGTCCAGAGGAGAGTCACTCGCATGGTCAAGGGGCAGCGGGTCAGGTTCTACAAAGAGAGGCTGAAGGGCATGAATCTATTCAGCCTCCACAAGAGAAGACTGAGGGGGATCTGGTGGCCATTTACAAACTCACCAGGGGGCACCAGCAGGAATTGTGGCTGAGCCTCTGTTCCCCCGGGCACCATCGGGGATTACTGGGAATAATGGCCACAAATTGTCCAGCCTGAACCTTCTGTCTAACATCAGGAGACATTACTTTACGGTTAGAGCTGCCAAGCTCTGGAATGGACTCCCAAGGGAGGTGGTGCTCTCTCCTACCTTGGGGGTCTTCAAGAGGAGGCTGGACAGATATTTGGCTGGGGTGTTATGACCCCGCACTCATTCCTGCCCGGGTAGGGGTCGGATCTGATGATCTGTTTAGGTCCCTTCTGACCCTAAGCACTATGAACTAAGAAAAAGTTTTCAGAGATATTTAAAAGTTCATTAAATTTTCAGTAAATGTCGAAATTACAAGATGCTATTATATGTTGTTTACTAGTAAAGTTCATTTCTATTGTCAGACTCAATTTGAGAATTCCTAAACTTCTAGTATATTAGACAAAAATTGTTCATGGTTTTATATTCTTTGTGTAACACAAGTGAAAACAGCCAACATGACTTTGCAAAAAGAAGCCAATTTGGTAATCAGAGGTATTATTCTGATATCTAACAAAAAAATTGTTCTTTGACTTGAGATAACTAAATATAAGGTAACTGCAGGTTTTAAAACAGCTGAATTAATATACGAACTGCCCCCCAATGTCAGTTTATCAAGACTTTGTTTTAAAAGTTTAGTCAAATCTTAAATTTACACCAGTAATTAAAAATGTTAATATCTGATATCTTCTTGGTGGCCAGTTTGAACTGAGTTGGAGGACTCAGCAACTGTTGAAAGTATTTTTATCACAAGGTCTCTTTCCTGACAAATTCTTTAAGGATGACAAGAACGGAGAGAAAAACTGATTTTGAACCACATTTTCCTCCATCTCTAGACTTACAGACTAACTACAGTGCCAAAGCTGCATTAAAAAAAAAGGGGGGGGAAAAAATCACTCCTGAATGCCTCATTTTACATGAGAACAATACTCAAATTAAAACATAGCTGCATATCAAACCAAACACATATCCATATAATTGAATACTTAGAAGGCTTGATATGAATATATTGCATATATGTCTTATGTTAGTATATCTAAAATATTTTCATTTGACACTGTTCTTAAAGTTGCATTAATTTTACAGCTTAATCTTCTGAACATCTCCCAGTATTGAAGTTCCTCCAAGACATGATCTCACAAGATTGCAATACAGCTTTATGTTTTATTTATTTTTGGCAAAATTTATAAAATACATAGCATTTACAGTAAAATGAGGGCTGCTATGTTCAGCCATTCACCATTTCTCTCTTATCTATATGAGCTAGCCGCTGAAAAAAAGGATTAGTAGCCCTTCCAAGTCGTATCTGAATTAAGAGCTAGCTAATCATTTTGGGAGTTACTGTATCCCCACAGAAATTAAATCCCAGAGCTCTGATGGCTAAGAAAAAGTCTTCATTACTTTCTCTGGCTAAAGGAGAAAGTGTATGTGAGAATGGAACAGCTGTCAGGTTGTAGAACCATGGTCTAATGAACAATGGCCAATTCATTCTTCATCCATTTATGCAAGTTCTGAACCTTCACGCTATGCAGTGCCTTCTCTCCAACCTGAGAAAGTAGGAGATTGGTAGAAAGGGAAAAATTATGCTATCTAAATCTGTGAGAGTAAAGAGAAAAAGGAAAACCAACTGTAACAATACCTACTAGAAACAGGTGAGAAAGAAGACCTTATCCAGATAACTAGATCACATGAGACAGGAAGGATTAGTATTACGATTACAAGGAAACTAAGCTGAATAAGAATACTTATACATTTTAAAAAGGGCAGGAAAAATTTACTGGGAATTGTTTGTGGGCAGTGTTGGAATGATGTCTGCTCACTTCTGATCTACGGTGATAGATCAGGCAAGAACAGGAGTGGGCAGTTATTTCGGTTGGAGGGCCACTTAACTTTTGGTGAGCTGTCAAAGCCCACAAGGGTAGCCCTGCCCCTCTATGGGTGCCCCACTCCCTGGTTGCCACCTTGGGACTGGAAGTCCCACCTCTACCTTTGCCACCAGAAGTCCCTCCCCTTGCCCCGGAAGTACTCCTTTTAGGAGGGAGCCAACTTGAAACTGGAAAAAAAACCTCAAATCATACACTAAAATAATCAAAGATCCACTATAACTTATTTTAATTTTATTAAAAAAAATAAATTGTGTCCTGATTTGTGCGTTTGCATAGTGTATCTAGACACGATTGCATAATAACTCAAAATACAGTCGTACTCTTGTACATTGTGTGGGAGCGGTAAGTGGGTTACATGGGGATGTGGTTGGAGAGTGAGTGTGTGTGTATGCAGTGTGGGTATGGTGGGTGGGGTGTGTCGGAGAGGAGAGGTATCGAAGGGTGTGGGGGCTAAGCCCCTGCCAGGGCTCAACCAATCAGGTTGTTCAATTCCCTGCTTTGGTGGGGAGTTTAGAAGCCCTGCCTAGAGCAGAGCAGGTAAGTACTCCTGCCCCAGGGGCAGCAGGCATAGGCAACAGCCTGTGTGCTGCTGGTCAGTGGCAATCAATCCCATGACGGGCTCCCTCAACCAGACGCATGGGAGAGCACGCCCTGAAAAATGCCTGAAATAGGCTCTAGCAAGCCTACAGGGCCCCTGTGACAGCCTTAATTACAGTAACTGTTTAAAAAATATATTTCTATGGATGGTTTATCATGCAGTAATAAAATCTTTTTTTGTTGTTGATCCTCACATTTTTCACTTAAAATTACTTAAGTTAGTGGTATTCTAAAGCCGTACTGGGCAGGTATGCAGCAGCCGCCAAAAGATCAGCAACATGCCTACAAGCAGAAACACCACATCAGCACCTCTTTTTGGGTAGGAACCATATGGCTATCTGAAAAAAGGAAGGATATTATGTCATCCACTATCCTAAGAAGTTATCACTATTTGACTTAGATTAAATAATTTAACATTCTAAAGGATCCTTGAAGAAAATGGCACCAAAGGCCTTTTTATCTACAAATATAAGCTGAACAGAAATCCTACAATTGTTCAAAGATGCTAAAGTAGAAGATATCCCACATATGAAATACAAACATATTCTTATTAACTCAAAGTAACTACAAGTAAAATTAACTGAATGGAGGTGGGATAATGCTTGTGTCTAACAACAAGCAAACCTGAACTGGCTGTTTCTGGACTGACCTAGAACTGAAAAAAAGATACAGAAACTAAACGGAAGGGGGCTCTGAAGAAACCTTTTATGATGGATAGCCCTACTTTTATTAAGAGGAAGATGCACCCTTAACAACTACTTCCCAAAGTAAAACCACAAACCTTCAGAAAAACGGGGCAAGTGAGGTGATGACCTCGCTCTCACTGATAGTTTCTGACACTATATTTAAGACCCCTTCATGTCTTTTTCTGCTTGACTCCTATTTTGTCTCCAGCAGCCTGGCCTACTAATTCAAGAGGCTTGGTTTTCTCTTGTAGATGAGAGAACTGATGTGTCTGTATCTGAAGACTGTCTGGTTGCTATGGATTTGGTAAAGTCTTTGGTGTGGCAAAATTGGTAAGGAAGGTGGAAACTTTAAATGAAGCCTGAAGGCCTTCATTTCGCCTTTTGTGCCAGGGGTATGTACCTCACTCTCCTCCCTGATCCCTGGCCCCCAAATATTTAATTGGGAAAAAGGGGATTTCCCTTCCACATCACCCTGTTCACAGCAGCCCTTTCTGCCTCAGCAGGAAGTGGGCGCAAAGCTTCCATGTCAGAATAGCCACCAGCACCTTGACATCCATTCTTCCCAATCAGGGAAGTCAGGCTAAAAATACCAACCCTACCACTGCACCAGCTTCAGGTCCCCAAAGGTGCAGCCCAGTAAGAAGAGAGGTCTCCAGCCCCCCACCAGTAACATGCCAGGCCCACAGCCAGTCCCAAACCCTCTCCACCTTCTGTTCGCCCGTGGGCCAGGCCCCACCCCGCCTGGTACACGTGTGCCAGCCAGCCAGGCCGGAACTCCAAGCCCTCGTTTGCCCCCGATCCCCCACA